ACACAGAAGTGGTGTAGGTCCTTACTATTTGGCCGTAATACATATTATTGTGCCGCTGTAAAAACAATGCGATATCCCGTGAATGTCTTTTCAATTGCTGGGGATTCGAAATTAACTTATCGTGTGCCACTTGCTCGGCATGCATGATCCACGTTTAGCTGATATTTTTAGTACTAGGATGGTGTCATACGAACACTCACATTTCTATTTATAAATATGTCATTTTTATGGCTTTAGATAGAGGGTCGTTTACATTCTTTTCTTGTTACCAAGTGTCTGAATCAACTAATTATAGAAGAAACGAAGTTAATTTTTCGTGTGCTAAGCTTCGCAGACTTAATCCTCTGGCTTCCTACACCATTTCCCAACGATGTGATTAACACTGTGATCAGCGATTCATGAATGGTGACATCTATATATCACGAGTTGTTTCCCTTTTTATATGACTTTCTAGCTGCACTCAATCTGGTAAAGCCCGTGATTGGTCCGGCAGAATACAAACTGGTCCTGCGCTTGGAGAACTGGAATATTTTAGGCAACCAGTTAACATCCGTCTATCTCACCAATGTCGTGGTCGATGTAGCGGAGTCTGAATGGAGCTGAGTCCACGGAGGAAGAAGTGGATTATCACACACCACTCCATTGTATCAATAAAGTCAAGCTAAGCTTGATTTTTTTTACCAACAAATCAGCATGCTTGATATTGTCACGTGATTATATATGGTGTTTGGTACATGTACACGATGGTACATGACATATTATAATACATTGTGTAACTTGTTATAATTTTGTTTTGAAAAAGTGGATTTTAAAAATCTTTTTATTGCAGCTGTGATCTGATTCTGATATTTATAGGCCAACATCTTGTAAAGTTTGAAATAGCAATAATATATCCGCTTTTTGTAATGTACACAATAGTTAATCTTAACTCTAATTTTAGTTAAAATGTCTAACAGAGAAAGAAAATAAATTGAGCACTTAAATATGAATACTATAATTATATACGACAAGAACTATTTTAATAATTAATAATAAGATTTACAATTTGATCATTGATCAAAGGTTTTTTATAATGAAGTCATTATTCCACACGAATATGTCAGTATCTTCTGTAGCTTCACGTTGTTTACAGGTTAGTTCCTCTTTTAATATCGATGTTGTAAATATGTAGTTATTTTAATGTGGGTGAGACTCTCATACATTGACGATTACAAGAAGAAATTTAGTAACATAGTCAAATCCTACGCTGTTTATCAGAACTGAAAACTGTTTTTCAACACCAATATGTATTAGGAATATTTCCTTTCCCGCCATTTCAAGTGAAGCTAATCATAACAACTTAAGTTTAATTCATCATAGACTGATGTTTTCTGCACTGTCATGTTATTTGTCTGCAGATATTTGTTTGAATTATTGAATAGTAAAATGATTTAAAATCATAAAAGGTACTTCTCAAATATATTACCTAAACTTTTGTGGTGAAGCAAGCTCGATTTTCAAAGGCTTGAAACAGATCTTATCACAGGATTAATGTTTTCTACAGATAAACCATTAGAGTATCATATATATGAAATGTTATATTTTATGGCAACAATAGAGATTAAAGCAATTAATCCATCTAGTTTAAGTGTAACTTTTGTGAATCCTTTCCTATAGAATTTCACATCTCTGTATCTGCATGTACCTTGATCAACAAGGCTCTGTTAAGTGATTTTTTCCCCTGAAATTACATGTATCCATTCTATTTTTAAGTTGTGTTATGACAAAATAAATATTAGATATGTTTAATATTCATCCATGTAGAGTTTTATCACTGCATTTATAAAGTCATTTATTCAATTACGAACTCGAGTTATCTAAACGTGTATTTAGTATGTGCATTGATGTAAAAATTCACAGAGGCAATTTTAACCAATTTAATGAATATCCTGTGGAACATTTATCAGATTTCGATTAATAAATGTATACTGTTTGTATCGGGTATTAAGTGAATAAGAAAAACTACGTTTTCAATATGTTCGCTTACTTCGAATGGTCTTTAAATGATACACGAATACATGCATAAAAGTACATATACATACAAACATGCATTAGTTTACCAAATTTATCATTGATTTCCTTGCTCCTTCAACATTTTTTTCCTGTTTTGTGATTGAAACGCCGATTTCCTTGTGGCAGTTGTTGACAACAGGATGAGATACCAATGAACATGTACTTTTATTGCTAAGTAATCCTCTTATAATCGAAAACCTAGTGCCAAGTACAAATTGTTCTTCCGTCAGACAGGACATATCGATATGTAAATATATCTACAACTATGCCTTGATCTACATAGGGAGAACGTTGACATAGCTAAACATTCCCCCGAATAGTAGCTAGTTTGGTATGATAAAAAAGTATTGGAGGTGTAGTAACTACGGTACGCTGGGTAGCTTTAAAAACACGATTTTATTAACATAACCTTACTTTGTGTAGATATCATGATTAGCTCGTGTCTGGATCATCATTACAAAAGGAAAACATTTTTTTCTCAAGGCAAATTTGAATTTTGTTTTCAGTTATATGCATTGATAAATCACTTAAAATGCTACAAAATGGTTTTTAAGGGTAAAACATGCAAAAAACTTTCGGAAGAATGACAAATATGAATTTTGTCAATAATTCTGCTGACTAGTTCTAGCCATAAAATACTATTATTCGTGTTATAAGCTTATAACTTAATTTTATTTCCCTGTGACCAATTGTTTATATATCATATGACCGAATAAAAATGTCTTCTTTGGTCTTTACTACAACACATTAAATCTTAATTGTTTTTTTTTATTTTCACATGAAAGAGTTCATGTCTGAAACACCTGTAGTTAACGCGTTATAAATTCAACTTCTAAACACTTAAAATGTTCAAATAGAACGCACTTTTATGTTCTTCAGACTTGAACGAAGCTGCAGCTAAATATCTTTACATTGTAGTCAGATATCAGATAGAATTTGTAGAAACCAGATTTGTATCTGTGGAAATCAGTCATGATTCGTAGCAATCTTACTACATGTGCACCTGTGTCATTCAGTCAACAAAAACTGAAGTCAGACTACATCTGTTTAAAACAGAGCGATCTATAGGAATTAGTCAACGTCTGTAAAAGGCAGACACATTCAGTAGAGGCCACAACTTCATAAATTACAAGATCTCTGTAAAATGAGATCATACCCTTAGAAATAAGTCACAACCTGCTGAAATCAGATCGAATCTTTAAAATTCACACACATTTTCTACAAATCACACTCTTTAGTAATCACAAACTTCAATTATAAATGATAACACACTTCTTGAAATCACACGCATTGTAGAAATGAAATCATACCCTGAAAATGTACACAGTGTAGAAATGAAACCGCACCTTGGGAAATGACATACATTTTGTAGAAATGAAATGTGAGCACCCACACACTGTGCATGCTGAAATATGACCACGCCGTTTGAAAGTACCTACACGCTATAGAAATCAGACAATACCTACAAAAATCACACACACTATGCAAAAATGAAACCACTTCTTCAGAAATCACACATACTATACGGAAATGAAACCAAATCTTCAGAAATCACACATACTCTGTAGAAATGATTTCACATCTTCAGAAATTACACACACTCTGTAGAAATGATTTCACATCTTCAGAAATTACACACAATCTGTAGAAATGATTTCACATCTTCAGAAATTACACACACTCTGTAGAAATGAATTCACATCTTCAGAAATTACACACACTCTGTAGAAATGATTTCACATCTTCAGAAATTACACACACACTCTGTAGAAATTACACACATGATTTCACATCTTCAGAAATTACACACACTCTGTAGAAATGAATTCACATCTTCAGAAATTACACACACTCTGTAGAAATGATTCCACATCTTCAGAAATTACACACACTCTGTAGAAATGATTTCACATCTTCAGAAATTACACACACTCTGTAGAAATGAATTCACATCTTCAGAAATTACACACACTCTGTAGAAATGATTTCACATCTTCAGAAATTACACACACTCTGTAGAAATGATTTCACATCTTCAGAAATTACACACACTCTGTAGAAATGATTTCACATCTTCAGAAATTACACACACTCTGTAGAAATGATTCCACATCTTCAGAAATTACACACACTCTGTAGAAATGAATTCACATCTTCAGAAATTACACACACTCTGTAGAAATGATTCCACATCTTCAGAAATTACACACACTCTGTAGAAATGATTTCACATCTTCAGAAATTACACACACTCTGTAGAAACAAATCCACATCTTCAGAAATTACACACACTTTGTAGAAATGAATTCACATCTTCAGAAAATACACACACTCTGTAGAAATGAATTCACATCTTCAGAAATCACAAACTTTGTAGAAATGTGACATTTTCAGAAATCACATGCACACTGCAGAAATAAAACCACATTTTACGTAATCATACACACACAGTAGACATGAGATTACATCTTCAGAAATATAACACACACTTTACCAATTAGATTTTGGAATCACACACACTGTAGAAATGACAGGACATATTTCGGAATCACACACACTGTAGAAATGACAGGACATATTTCGGAATCACACACACTTTAGAAATGACATCACTTGTTTCGGGATCACACACACTGTAGAAATGACATCACTTGTTTCGGGATCACACACACTGTAGAAATGACATCACGTATTTCGGGATCACATACACACGGGATTACTCCAGCACAGGTATAAAGTTGTCTCATTTTATTAATGTTCTTCTTACAAGGCTTTGGTTTAAACATTTCATCATATGCAGGATACATCATTGATACCATAACATAAACAATGTAATGTTTCTGTTTTAATGTCAGATTTTCAAACAATGTTTAAGTAGTTATCTTGGATGATGAATTAATATGTAAACAAACTATATACAAAATATGTCTGAGTTAGTCTTTGTGAATTCATGTTGGCGGGATTTGATTTGATAAAAACTGCTGGCCAAAGTTACGATGCGCCATGGAGCTGAATTGTTCGGCCATTCTGATCTGGTTGGAGGTTTTATATGAGGGAAACATGAAGAGATGGGGAAACAAAAGACTACTATGATGTCGATAATATCCCTCATCTGGGAAGCGATGCACAGGTTTAAATGGGTGATATTTCAATCTAGCTTGGTGTAGAGAAGATCGGGAAGATGAAGAGTTCTGTTGTTTAGCAGTTATACTTGGGAATCTTTCCTCTAATTTGAACCCATCGTCCTTTTCGTCGTTAACGTCTTTCTCCTCTTGTCCACATTCATCCTCTTTATCAACTTTGTCATCTGAATCTGAAATAAATAAAAAAAGAACATTGATGTATTAAATTCATTTTTAAGTGACATAATGTCATCTTTTGTCATTTTCACACGGCTTTAGTTTCATTAATTAAATTATCCGCCATCACACTGTCTGTTTTCTGTTATCATGTTGCCCCACTAATGATATAATTCTTCATTATGTCTATATCTCAGCGTCATTGTCATCCTCATATTTCCATTCACAAAAATCCTGCCTGATATTGACGCTCTCTCAGTGTCACCTATCCATCCATGCAACGTCACTCTCGAATCACCACTCTTCAGTTCTCACAATTTTCACATTGCCAGTCGCAAGGGGCACCTCTCTTCCTGTCCATATTTCAAATCTAACAATACCACAATTTCAAAAACACCACAGTCATTATCACAACTGTCTCATTGTCACAGCACAGAACAACAGTATTTATTCCAACCATTAACTTTGTTTTCCATCATCACATTGTCAGCCTCCCACATAGAAACGTATCTCAGAAGACGGTTATTATTTTCTTTACAGCCAGTATGTTGGAAGTATATGTAAACCTAAGAGGCAATTGTTTGGGTTAATGATACAATACCTTTGCTAACGTTAAAATATCATTGAAACGACTGTTATGATTGGCCTAAATCGGATTATTGTGATAAATAGAAAGTGAAAGTGAGATATGATTTTAATTGGTTCGTTAAACAATTAACTGACGAAAAAGATTAATCCATTCTAGTTATCAATTATATTTGTAAAGTATTAGTTATTCTACCATTCCATAAAAAGGATAACTTTGTTATACACACAACAGAATGATTATAAATGTATGATGTGACCCTCCCCAAGGTAAGAATACTTGTACGAAGCATGATAGATAAAGGAAAAAGGAAGGTCAAGATTCAGTCACCATATATATCTTTAGAAGTCCATCACTGGTCCTGAAATGAGTATTGTTTGTGTATACTCTTTTCGCTTTATATTTTTCAATTTCCTGGTTAAGTAAGTAGGTAGCAACATTGCTTTTCTGTGTGTAACGCCATCTTATCTAGATACATCAAAAATGTACCCCTTTTCATCATGGATTATGTAAAAGGGCCACTGCATTAATTTTTCAGAGCTACCATTGCTGTTGTATCAATCGTCACCATACTAACTAGTTAATTGACCTCTATTTAGGTGTCGAGCAGTAACAGTAACTATTCTTAATAAAATAGAATAATGTGTGTGCTTCATTAATCCGGAATCACATCATTGTTATCATTGTTATCTCATGTTGACATTTACCTCAATTACATGTATCATATTTCGTACAAGTACTTTTATTTTTTGCTAGTTGATAACCTACCAGATAAACTTTTATCTGTTGACGATGCATATCCTTTCGATGATTTATCAGCAGTATCAATTTGTTCGACCAATTTCGGATATGACAATCCTGGCACTGTCATGGGAATTGAAGTAAATCCAGGTGGCGTTACCATCATAGGCATTGTCTGACACTGTGAACCGGAAGAGGATAGTTGTTCCATTGCGACTTCCTGTTGGTACAAAAAGTTGGCAGTCATGGTTCCTGCGTTTCTGAGAATTCGATTTATGGAGCTGACACTAGGGATTGTATGGTCATCACAGACACCAAGAGCCATCAATTGGTCCCTTATCTCCCATGCAAAACTGGCAGGGTTTTGTCTCTTTAGGTCCAAAATTTTCTTTATCACGTAGGGGGTTGCAACTTGCTGGAGAAAGAAACCAAAATGTTTTGCAAAAAAAAAAAAAAAAAAAATCAAAATTGTTCTCCAAATCAGGGGGAAGCAAATAAAAACTGAAGGAAAAGTACTGGTCTTAGAACTCAAAAAAGAAGATGTATAAACAAAATTCAAATCATATTATGCATGTCAGGAGAGATAAGAAATTGTTCACATAGTGAATATCGTACGTATTTGTAAGCTTTTCATGGGAGTTGTGATCATCCTTTGAACACATAAAAGCAAAACCAGAGATCAAGCGCCTATTCCAAACTGAGATACATTGAGATATAGCTATGCTAGTAAATAACTCTCATATCGTCCACGATTCAGGAGAAATATTTAAATATATTTACCTTTGGTTTACTTCCTCCTATAGAGCCTGGTTTTATTGAGCCCGTTTCGTAATATCTGGTGAGAATTTTGCTGACACATCCATGAGAAACCAAGAGTTGTCTTGAAATATCACATGGACGAACTCCCATATGCGCTAGCTCCACAATCCTACGACGAACCTGATCTGGAAGTGGTCGACCATTCACAAATACTCCTCCAAGCTGGTTCACACCGGTCTGACCTGTAAGTAAATAAAAAGTAAATCAAAGATGCAACAAAAAAAAAAAAACAAAACAATTAAAACATTCCTAAAACTCAATATTCCATTGAAATGATGGAGATTGAGATATCCGAAAGCACCAGATGTACATATCTAAACAAACCATACCGTCCAGGATTTTATTTCTCAGGAAATATAAATGTTGAACGTCAAAGACAAAAACAGACAATTCTGAGCAAACAGACGAAAAGACAACAAAGCAGAGAGAAAGACACCATGTTGATTTTACTTGGTAAAGAAACATTCGAACAAATACAGCAATCCCATCGAAAAAATATATAAGGGACAACGAAAATGATACTTAAAAATACATTTTAATAGTGGCGAAAGTTACATTCAATCTATCTCTAATAAATAAGATACTGACTCAAGGCATTTTGGAACGAAAAGTTTACACAATTTGTAAAGGATAACTGTAAACAATTTCTTAATTATTATTTTTTGTATCTGAAGTTACAGCAGCGACATTTTGCAAAATGTTTACTCAGTCTAGAAATGATATCAGAGAATAGTAACCATGTATAACCATCATTGGCCACAAGACTCCCAGAAATACACATGATTTAGATCTTTCTGTCCTGGCCACATTCAACAGGCGATTCTTTACAAGTTAGTTAGAAGGGTTGTTATCAAGAGAAGTTAAGAAAACAATTAGAATAACTAATAATAGAATTATTGCAACAACAAAAACCACTAGATGTAATAAAGGATGGAATGAAAGTTAACAGAACTGGCATAACTAGAGGAAAACGAAAGTACTCACGCATTTATAATAGCATTCGAACCCACTTATAATTTAAGAAATCGTAATAGACATATTTGTTAAAGCAAAAATTACAAAAAGTAAAAGACAACCTAAAATATTAAAAAGGATTTAATGCTCAAATAACATGGATATCAATCATATGAAGTGTCGAAGTGAAACCAACCCTGTCTCAGTCATGTCATTACTTGTGGTAGAAATTAGATTTCGACACAAAGCCATTTAATGTCAACATTGCCGTGTTACACACACACCAAAAGAAAACAAAATTATACATATTCTAACGTGCATTGATTAGGAATAATTTTACATCGGCAAAATTAGAAACGCCCTCTATGATGGAGTCCGTGTGCACAACAACAACAAGTGCATATAAACATAAGATAGAATAAACAGATCATGAGTCAACATGTAGACATTTGTGGGAAGATCAAATTTTGTTTGGAGCTTTAACATACAACCCTACAACAGAAAGGAAACGGCACTAAAGATGTAAATATGAAAACACCATAGGAAGGTAGAAATGAAAGTGTTACAATTTTACAACTCTTGTTTCTAAGTTTATTAACTTCATTTTTATTTACTGGACGCTGAGTTTATCACAGAACTGCAAAACACTCAAGCATATTGAATATGAAATATATCTAGAAATTTGTTTTCATGGTACTTACGTCCGAATGGTGTTAACTGACATTGTACTGATCTTGTACAAGTTCCAGTATAGTTTCCTGACATATTCCTACAAGTGCGTTCTGGTGCATCTACACCCTATAAACTTCCAGTCAACTGGTTACGTATGGCGTTTCAGTACTAATCCTTAAAGGTATATATTTTCTAGAACTAAATAAGCTGATGGAATACATTTCCATCGTAAACCGTAACATGATCTGAAAGACTAGGGTGGTCTTGTGTGATATATAAGGAAGTAATGGAGAGTTAAAGGGGGAGTAGAGACCTCCTGATGATGCTCTATTTTGTTTATCTTCATTTGATGAGCATCAGCAGATTGCGATCACACAAAATTTATGTAAAAATGATACAGAGCATGGCGTTTGGTACAACGATGTGGTTGCCAATAGGAAAACCTACCATCGTTAAAGGAATCGCTTAAAATACAACACACTCAATACACCAACTAACAAAAAACAATGACAAATTATATAACGTACAGACACTCTATGAACCAAAGTGTCAACACACAAAGACAAATATATAATGTTCAGACACTCAATACAACAAAGTGTCAACACACAAGGACAAAATATATAACTTACAGCCACTCAATACATATAAACATCACACAATGACAGAATAAATAATGTTCAGACACCGAATACAACATATCAACATATAATTAACGTTACAACACCAGCGCAAAATACATCAATATGACAACGTTAAAATAAGAGGACAATATTAGGTACTGTCAAAATATACCATAGCGCCAACTCGAACAGGCATAATAATGTGACCATGTCTCAAGAGGGGATAAAATATACTAACATGGCAGGAATAATTACAAAACAATATACCAAGGTTGACAATGAGTCATTGCCAACGATTCCTATACCAATACTGGAAGCTATGGTTTTGGTCAACATTAATATATGTTTTTTAAAAATATATTTATATTATGGCACTGAGAAGAGGTAAAGAGCACAAGAATCTTAAAATTCACTACCCCTAGCCATATGGAAAAAGAAGGAATGGGGGACTCTGAATATAGTATATACCTGTATCACTGCTTTGTTTACTTATGGATCGGCACAGTATCCCTGTATTGTCTCTTGAATACATTAATGAAACTACCTTTGATATGCTATATATCTTGTGGAGGCTTTCTGACAAAGACATGATTTCTTTACTGTACAGTTATATACAGTACATGTACGAAAACCCAAAATCTCAATGTCAAAATTTAGGGTATGGAGTGATCTAAAGTAGTATGACTGTTTACCAACATGTCAGCCATATCTGTACAGACATCAAATGTTTAATTGACTCTGAACTAGCAACCATGAGGATAACAAAACAATTTTCCATCACATTAGCTCAGGTTTGTAATGTTCACGACATGAACGTTTATGGATAGAATATTAAATTTGGCTTAATGCTTCCTTACAATGAGAACACATGCTCTAATTGGAAAATATGATCATGTATGCTACAGATAATGCAACTTGATACCTATTGCCAATTCGGCACATCTAACAATGTTAAGTGTAGAGGCACTTTTTTGTCGTGCAATATATTTAACTACTAGTTTACAAAAACAATTGTACAGTCTGTGGGGTAAAGTAGATATTAAGTAAAATTCTGAAAAGTTCTGATAATCGATTTTAGTTAAACTAGAGAAGTAATAATAATAAAGAAGTGATAATTGTTTAGGTGAGCTTGATGTTAAGAAATAGCAGATTCGTCAATGAGTTTGATATCCGAGTGAACTGCTACTCTTCTTGTTCAAATAATTTACATCAAATTGGAATATTCCAAGAACGCCCTTGGTGTTCCTTAGTGATACGTTTAACAGTACAGTTAATTACAAAGCAGGGAACTTGCATGTAATTAATCGATCTTCGGATCCATATTCGCCCTGTGTGTTAAATATATGTTCCGGGACGAAGTAGTTTAACGTCCTTTTTACATTATCAGTCACCATTGAAAGTGAAATATCATTTGTAATCATCGTTTTTTCCCAAAAGTATGTGTTCATCGAAACGACTAAAATGTTCCACTTATTGTGTGACAGCAAACTTATTTATTACAACACTGTGCTTTTTTTATTTGTCAACATTGTCATTTTACTGGAATTTCGTTAAAGAGGTGAAATGAAACAATTACTCCATTGATTTAATTTCTGTAAAACTGTGTCTATAATTGATATTTCCTGTGGATAAATCCCCGATGATTGCCCAGATCTCGTATTCAGAATACACCCAATATTTTCGAAGCTTTCATTGTCCTTTTTATCAAAAATCAGTTTTTACAGTTTTTATCAAAGTTAATATTTTGATAAAACTTAAACCGTACTTCAAAGGATGAAGTTATCACAAGATTGTGATTTTAATATTACAAGGGGGCCATTTATCCGTCGCAACGGTCCAGAGCGAAAGCAATGTATATGTCACCTTTTGAAAATCCGAAACATACCTTTGCATATCTGTTTAACATAGTGCATCTGAACATCCATAAAATATGATATATTGTGAGAATTTACCAGTTTAGATCAAAGTAGGATTTTCAGAATATAACTAATTCCCTCCTGAATAAAGACGTTACAAAGTATACTACATTGTTCAAAGCAAGCGTTACAACAATAAAACGGGTCATCGATCAAAGCCGATACGCTTCGTGGGATATATCACATCGCTATAGGTAAACAGTGGTGTATAAATCTGAACAAACAACATTAAAGAACCTTTACGATTTCAATCTAATTTTTACTAATTTATTTATAGAAAGTGAACGCTTTAACGATACTCAACGTGATGGGTGAAACGCAAGATGACAAGTTCATAATTTCGAGTAAAAATCTATATCTCTGTGTAATTACATGTCCATTCCACTGATACTGTGTCATAATCTGTCCTAGTGAATAGATTTTAGAGTGCACCAATAATTTTCCACCTCAAAGGATTACAGAAATGATATTGTCAGAGATCAGATGGCGAACAAGTAAATTAAGTCGTGGATTGAACTTAAGATATGAGCGTTTAAAAAACCTGCCACGCTTTTATAGATCAAGTGCATCACCATTAAAACTCTGTTTTAAAAGGTGCAAGATTTAGATAAGCCAACGAGAAATTATTATCAAACGACAAACGTTCCAACCTGTTGGTAAGCGCAAGGTGTGTTATCACCTTACTTTATTAGCAAACTGTTGTTGGTTTTTGTTATTGAAATTGGCAGAATTAGTACTGCTACAGAGTTTAAACTACAGGTAAATCACAGCGTTTGTATCACCACCTATTTCTACAGATGAATTTCCTACTTCTTGGTATATATAATGCTAAGATTTCAGAAGTTAACAATTTCTTGAAAAACATGGGGTTTTGTGCAACGTTCATTAATAGTATACATTTTCAAAACGCAATCTCATTAAATAATTAATCCATTATTACTGTATAACAACCAACAACCAGGTATTCAAGAAGGAACTTTGGGCAAAAAGTAAAAATGGAAATGAACAAACGTAAACAATACAGGTACCAAATTCAAAATATTTGCTAAACAATACCGTGTAAAGGTACCAAACACAAAAAAATAATCTGTGGCATTGCTTCATTTGAAAAAAATATTAAAACACTGAAAAAATCTCAACCCTGTCATGCTATTTGAATACGTCGTTCTAATAATTACCAACAAAATTATGAAATAAGGTTTGAATGAAATACGAAATATTCTTAATAGATATTCAATAACTCATTAAGGTGCCCGCCAAAAATCATTTTCAACATGTGTTTCCCCCCCACATAACGTTGATACGCACGCGTGGACTCTTAATAGGATATGGAGAGCATCCTATGAAATATCTGGCGACAAAACGGTCGTTTAACACATATTTATATTTCTATAATTGAAGTAATTTACTGATTGTGAAAAGCGTATAAATTTGTAAAGTGTCTACAATCCATGCCAGAACTCAATATGATTGTAGTTCTCCGCTAGTACTGTCACGGGAAGGGACGCAATGTGTATGACTGTAACCAAGCACAGCACTGATCAAAGGGCCAGCCAATAAGACTGAGCGGCTCATTTGAGCGAAAAATATCTCAATCATACCCGTATGTGGCATTGCTGAAGTGGGATCGTTTCTCCCTCCGACGTCTGTGCGATAATTTCCTCTCTCTAGTCCTCAAACAATACTCTGAAATAATAAACGATCATAGGAGATATTTATTAATTATTGAACATGGCCCATCAATGAGCCCTCTGAAAAATGAACATTACAACAGACGAAAACGTTCTCACACGGGTTGAGGGGCAAATACGTTTAATACCACGCTGATGTGTCATGTAACTACAGAGCAATTCAAATGATGAATACAAATAAAAAGATAAATTTATGATAGCATTAAAATATTGTAAAATAATCGGCAAGGAAGTCGACAATGGGGCGATTTCATTCAAATTTCGTCTTTGATTCATCAGAATTAATTCTCATTTCATGAAGATAGAAACTGCATTATTTTTTCTGGAATCCCAATATAGCAAACTGCAGTTATGGCAATTGATAAATGGTGCTTGTTGCTATTTAAAATACTCCCATCTTGCGCGCATTTGCCTTTATCGTGGATCTTACTTAAATATCATTATGAGACATTTAATAAGTATTAAAATGTTATCTGAAAACCTCAGTAGATAGATGTGTTCATATTAAATTAGATTTGGGGATTTTTATGAAGTAGTTGAGTTTTTATGTGCTTTGTTCAAACTAACAAATATATCAGTTTAAAAGATATGACATGTACATTACGGATACGAGAACATTTAAATTTTGTAATCGATAAAGGACTTAAAATATTCTTTATTTACTAGTGAGCTATGCACAGATTACCAAGTTGTCTGCAATTGAAAATTATAAATAGATAAACTGTTTTGGTTTACTATCTAACATTTCGACACCACTGTTTAAATGCATCACTTTTCTTGATAAATTCGAAAGCGTTCTTTGACATACAGAATTAATGAAAGTATTTCATTAGTATGCACAGTAATTACCGATTGCAGACGAATAATAGTCAATCTCTTAAATCTTACATGTGCATGACTTGTCATTAAGTTAGAAAGAGAGCTAATCGAAATTCGCATGCACATTCTACTCAGTATAACTAAGTAACCGCAAACATCTCCTTGAAGCGTCCCTGTATATCAAAAACGTTGTAGGAACGTTAGTCCAAAGCATCACATGTACAGTGTTTCCTTAGATAGTCATCCTCACACCAAGACTCTAGCTTGCAATTAAGTGGTGAAAAGATTGTACAAAAGGCACATGAAAAACGCGTTTTAATACAAAATCAGAATAAGATACAGTTTAGTCAAATATGGGATTATTATCGATATCATAAGGTTCCTAAAAAACGAATGCTTGAAACTGTGTCATGATGAATGGCGACAAACCATGGGAATTTGTAGAATATTTCTCATAAAAGGTTAAATATTTAGGCTAAAATTTGCTATGAGAATGAAGAATACACTTGAGCGTGAAAAATATCAGATATGAAATTAAGCATTGCAACACTGAGCGATTTTCATTGTAAATAAGTATGTCGCCTAGTTTGTTCTTCAAATATATTCATAGTTCGACCTCAGAGTTATCGCTGTAATATTTCCATACTCGTACTATATTATAAAAATAAGAATTATGTTTGTCATATAGTTCTATATTATTTTGTGACCTAAACACGAGATGCTATTTTTCATTTTCTCATTCACTGTATGTTATCTATCGCTTGAACGAAACAACTCGCAGTAGATTAATTTTGTACTCTTAAAATATTGAAAAGAAACATCAACAAAAAACCCCGTAACATTGAGAATCTTATCGTATTACACACAGCCATTATAAGTTATTTTTCTTTTTTAAGCACAGGCTTGAAATTACGTCATTATTTTGAAATTTAAAACTTTATGGGGAGCGGGTAATTTATGTGCACTTGTTTATCTTAAACTCATATTTTGATTTCCTCGGAACAAAATGGAAATTAATTATTTAGTCAAACGTATGATGCACTAAAGTATATGATTATGTACTTAATAAACCCAAAACATTACAATCAAAAGTTACTACAATAAACATGGTCACCATAGGGAGGTAAGTGAGAGATGAGTTCATCTTTGTCTGTGAATGTTTATGAAAACGCTCTTAGCATAGTTTAGATTTCAGTATGTATTGCTTATCAGTAAGACTTTGGCATATCAGTGGATAAATAGTGAGCAAATTACACCGAATCGAATTTACAACAGGACTATAATACTTAAAAACGCAAAAATATATTCTATTCAAGGTATAGGTTGACACAGTAAAACCATTATTAATCAGATTATTTTCATTTTTTTCTGCATTTGTTTTAATACCCAGTACCAAGATCATGATTAACATACTGATAATTATATAATGGTCTTTCTCGTTCATCAATAAAAAATATGACCTTTGAACACACAAAAACGATTCAGTGTGTGTTTCTTGGGCCGCTGTGTGTGAGGGTATAGGTGTGTTTGGACGACGGTATGTGTGAAGTATGAACCTGTGCGTAAACCAGATGTGAATTTTAAAACACTTTATGTTTAATATATAATATCAATACAACTCTTATCCATATATACATTTATGTGTATTGTAATTTTGATATCCAATCTAATTATAATCTGATAATTTATTAAACGATTTGACACTGATTATACCGATAGATGATATTCAAACTGCATCTAAAGAGATATTGATATTGTCCTCAAGGTCCCAGTGTGTAGCCCGGTTGGGCAGGACTAAAACATTTTAATCGTTGTTCATCTTAATTTCTTTCTTTGAATTTTACATTTTAAACACCACAGACATATTTTAAAAACTAACATGACAAGCACTCTCCTTATACAGAAATGGAATAGCTTTGACTTATTCGACTTATTTAGTGTCTCATTGTTTTTCTTTTTACCTTCTATAAACAAGTAAATGATATTGGGCTATTGTTTCTGTAATTGCGCTTGGTCTTGATAATTTAAAAAAACTATTTCATTATTTCGATTGCGAAATACACAACAGCTTACTAATCTATTCTTTAAAAGCCTTGGAATTAATTCATAGTCACTAGTTTTGTAACGTTGTGTTTTTTTGTCAGTAACAAGCAATAGAAATAATAATCTTTTGACTTACTTTGCAATAGTTAATTCATCAGATATTATGTAAGAATAAATAACTAGGAAATCTGAAACAAATGTATGTTTTAAGTGAACATTAAATACATGTATATTTTATTGAAAATTCGATCCATATTACGTTCTTCAGTATCTAAACACGGTTTCATATATGTTGTTCTAGGAAAACTGAGTACCGAAGCACTTATATATGTGTTATTTAGGCTTTGAGATCGAAGAAAAGATAATTTACAAACGAGTGTGAAAGATATAATATCAAAATGTGAAATAAATGAATTTGGAATTTAAAAATGTTCTTTTCTATCAAGTATTTGATCTACATCTTCTAAATGTAACCCTTATTTACATTGCATGAACTAGACAAGTGGTGTCTTCATCAAACGTCTATACAATCAGGATTTGTTAGGCATAGACATAACTATGTTTTAGTGTAAAAAGATACGAGAAAGAAAGATAAGATCATTTATGAGTATTATACGAACATCGTACTAAAAATGTGAATATTAACCCTAGCATTCATATAGTCAAATAAAACATCCGAAACCTACTCAGTATGAATATCAGTATGGGCCGTCGCAGTACTAAAGTAAGAAATACATTATGAATTTAGTGATATATCTAGTTCAGTTGTAATATTTTCATCGCTCCCCGCATTTAAAGAAAAATGATTCACCCAACAAGTGAGAAAGATTGATGTTAATCACCGGAAGAATATGTTTTAATAACTATAACTTAGTCATTGATGGTTACACCAGTGAGGATGTCTTTTGTCTGTTTATCTACGTATGTAATTTAAACAACAAAAAATTGATAAAATGTGGTTGGACACATTACGCTTTGCAAGTAAATACGTCAGAAGGTTTGAAAACACTACAAACAAGACAGTAAGTTCACATATTAATAACTTTAAATAGTTCATGTCTAAATCTTTTTACGTCTGTTGTGAGATATAATTTACACTTAAACTGATCATGTAGAATGTACCTACATGCTTAAGAGTTCCTATCACGCGGTAAATTGATATAATCGTAGATATGAAACTGCATTTTACACAGTAACTTTTAAAGGTAATTCATTTGCAATGTCATATTTTTGTACGTAAAATCAAAGGCATTATATCAACATTTAAAAAGATAAAACAGCATCAATTTGCATATAAATATAACATTTTGTCAAAGAACTTGTGTAAACTTAACCGAATATTTGATGATATGAACATCAATGAAATCAGAGATAGTTTGTGCTTTATTCATGTTAACCATATTATTAATTCATATTATAGATTTAATGGCGATATTAAATTATAGAATATGACGAGGAAACAGACTCTGTAAACGTTTGCTTCGTGTTAAATAATGATTATCTAGAAAAAAGTATCTATTAAGGAGACAAAATCAATATTTCATAATGTTTGATTTAAAGATCAATTAATGTTAACAAGATATGCACAGTCACCAAATTATGAAATAAAATATTGTCAATATAACTAGTAATATAAGGATGGGTTTCTGCAAGATTACCACACGAAATGGAGTAAAATCATCACCTTAAGGCTTAATTAAGGTAAAAACGTTAAGCTGAAATGTACATTACCTGACGGTGTGACCAGACATGGGATGTGCTCCTCGTGTGCTAGCCGCACCACTCCGCTTTGCCTATATCGGTCACGGTACACTGTTTATCAACCTACCGTGACAATGCGCGTGGCTGTTACAAATATCACCTGCCCTTCATGCAATTAGCACATTTTATCCAATCAAATCTTAGCACTCTAATCATCGCTGCATCCGTTTGGAGATGAAACACTTATATTTAAGAATCCGAGTTTATAAATATTTTACATCATATCCTCGCGGTATTCCGTATAAACCTTGTATTCGGAAAGATCGGAATGGTTAAATTAATGATTTATTGAGTAGAGGCAGCTGTTCGGAGATGAGAAACATTCAATTTTACAAGTATAATCCACTGTCCGATAAAACAGT